CTGGAGGATTTTTTGAAACGAAACAACCTTGACAAGCTTGTTCAAATAATACGAACAAAGTGAGTAGTGTCTATATAAATTTTTTCAAAGCGGCTTATTGATATCTCTGCTTATTTATTCATTAATTAACGACATTTAGAACTAGGGAGGGACTTATACGAGCACGTCAGTTTGGCGCTGAGAAAGCGACTGGAGACGTGCTCATCTTTCTTGACGCTCATTCAGAGGCAAATTATAATTGGTTGCCCCCACTTCTTGATCCTATTGTTGAAGACTATAGGTATATTTCAGGCCTACTTACATCTAATGTCAGATGAATGCGGGACTTGTTTGAGATAAATGATATTATTTAGAACAGTTGTTTGTCCTTTTGTTGATGTAATCGACTGTGAAACTTATGAAATTCGCCCCCAAGATAATGGTGCAAGAGGTAGTTTTCTTAAATCCTGCTTTTCCCTGTTGTTTTTGTTTCATGTTTTTTGTGTTCTTCTTTGTCTGGGCTCATCGAAGGCAAATGATGCACAGTCTGTTTCATTTTTTTTTTGGTTTTTGACAATTTGAGGGAAGCGAAAAACAAGGACCGGAAAAAAAAGCATTGACCTGGATTTTAGTTGATGATATATGCTGCAAGCTTGCCTAATTTTAGTTCTCTTTGTTATCAATTCATTTGGAGTGTTTCAAAGAAAACCTTCAAAAGCATTCATTAAAAACAGTTTGCATGCCAAAAGTTGGGTCAGAACAAAATGTAAGAAAAAAATTTAAAGTCTTTTGTGTTTTTCCCGTTTATCATGTCTCCTCAGAGTCTTGGTTATAATTAGATCTTTGGAAGAGTGGACTTCCGCTGCTTTGCTTTCGTTTTCAGATCGTAGTACTTCCCTGTTGAAGGTTCGTTCGATTGGGCTTTCAACTACAAACGGTTGCCATTGACGAAAAAGGATCGTGAAAATCCCACGAAACCGTTTCCAAGTCCTGTAATGGCAGGAGGTTATTTTGCTATCTCAACGAAGTGGTTTTGGGAACTGGGTGGATACGATGACGGCCTTGATATTTGGGGTGGTGAACAGTATGAACTCAGCTTTAAGGTAGAAACAGATTTTATTATGTGCAATGTTTTTTAAATATCGTATTTTATCAATTTAGGTTTGGCAATGTCATGGCAGGATGGTAGATGCGCCATGTTCGCGTGTTGGACATATTTACCGTTGTAAGTACATGCCATTCAAGAACGCAGGCAAAGGTGACTTCATCAGCAGAAACTACAAAAGAGTTGCCGAGGTATGTTTTTCCTTCTTCTGCACTTAAACTTTTTTTTGTGGAATTGAAATAGCTGCAGGTTTGGATGGACGAATACAAGCACAACCTTTATAAACATCGTCCGGGAGTAGGAAGTGCTGAGACTGGTATGCTCGAAATGTTCTGAAATAGTTAAGTTGCAAATCTATCATTTATTTGTATTCAAGGTGATTTATCTAAGCAATTGGCAGTCAGAGAACGACTGAAATGCAAGTCATTCGATTGGTTCATGAAGGAAATAGCTTTTGACCAAGATAAATATTATCCTGCTGTAGAGCCAAAACCGTCAGCTAGCGGTAAACTTAACATTTCTCATCTGATAATAACCTGAGTCATTTTTTGGGTTTTTCAGGCGAACTCCGAAACAAAGGGACAAATCTGTGCGTGGACACCCAGTATAAGCAGGCCAACCAACGTTTTGGACTTCGCAAATGTATTAGTGACGATCCGAATTCCGGCGGTGAACAAGTGAGTGCAACTATTGATATCTTTTTTCTTCACTATTACAATCCTTCCAGAATCTTCGAATCACTCGGTGGCACGATATACGTCCAGAAGGACGGTCTGTATGCTTTGATGCGTCTTCTTCGGAAGACAAAGCACCCGTCGTGTTATTTGATTGGTGCGTCATTTTTAAACTTCTTATTCCACATTTTTTAGTTTTCGGATTTTAGTCACAGTATGAAAGGCAATCAACTTTTCAAATACAGGGTGGACACGCAAATGATCTTTCATCCAGTGAGTAGTTTACATCTGCATTGTGATAACTTCTGCTGACTTAATTTTAGGTCTCTAATCAATGCTTATCTGTGGAGCCAGACGGCTCGGGTTTTGTTTTTATGCAGAAGTGCAACGAGGAGTCTCTTACTCAAAAATGGATATGGCAGGTAGGAAAAGTAAAGTGCGATTACATATCTTCTAACTTTAGATTTGTTCAGGTTTTGGACGAAAAGCTTCTTGATGAGCGGCAAAAAGCAGAACCTAATGAAGAGGAGTGAACAACTTTTGATGCGAACTTGTTATTAGGTGAATACTGTCCCACATCAAGATGTAGATGCCTCTCCTTCTGTTTCCTACAAGCGTATTTAGGACACAAACATGCAGTTTGATTTGGTATATTCACGTGAGAAAGAACGCACGTTCCGAAACATGAAAAAAAGCATCAGTCCATTTTTTAATAGGCATAAGTTTAGTTAATTGCTAGACAACTTGTAGCAATTTTCATACAACGAGAAATCAAAGCCCACGATCCATGTGAGAGGTTTAGCTTAAACCAATTTCGCGCTCTGTAGGCTTGAAGATTAATGGAAAAGTTTGCGTCTTCAGTGTTGTCTCTTCAATTTAGTGCGCGTCCGTCGATTGACTGTAAGTTTGGAAAAATTCCAAACTGACATTCACACCTTGAGACTTGAACATAATTGGAATTTTTCATAAAAATCAGAAGAATGTTT